AGAAAGATAACCATATGACAACGTACGTAAAAGATAACCATACGCTTCAGAGGCGCATGCTTTTCTAAGGCGTCAATTTTATACTAACAATGGATATTTATTTAAGTTAATCTAGTCATTTTAAAGGTTTGGCATTATTGTAAAAATAAAATGCATTTATATTATATTTTTTTATATTTTAAGTAATTTTAAACTTAAATCACTAGACCTCTATGAAAAATTAGATGGCAATATGTTTATTTCGCAGGCGCCTCTGCGACGTAGGTTATCTTTCTCGGGTTAATGTGCTCCCTTGTTTAGCGTCATCGGATGTTCAGCCGGAATCAAACGGGGCGAAAACGACGGAATCCAAAAGCGAGATGGAGTACCATTTTGCTTTTAAAAATTTTCGATTTTACAAAGTAACCAATTTTACTGTGACATCTGAGTGAAATGTCATTTCTTGCAACAACAGCCCCCGAATGTCTTAAAATCTTATTCTATTGTGTTCTGCGGATTAGACAGTGTCGACGTTTGAAGCATACATTTTCCGCAGTCTTGTCGCAGAGAGTTGTAAACTAAAGCAACAAAACTTGAGCAGTTTAAGCTACAATCTTGTTCAGAATTTTCGTAACTATGACTCTGAACAAGAAGATGATACGAACGAGTTTGATAAAGTGATTTCATCAGAAGTAAAAACAGCGACACGTGGACCTAGTAGAGCGCAGATCTGAGCAAATTTTATTTCAAATGGAAACGAGAAATAGCTGTTTGAAATCATTCATTTCGAACCGTTATGTTCAATGCTGTTATTTGAAAATACAAATAATATTGATCCATTTGAAATAATAACAATTTCAAATAATTAATTACTTCTTGATTCTTTTATTTCAAATATGACTAAAGAAATAATCCTCCAAATAACATGCAACGATAAGATTTTACTTTAAAAAACCGTTTAATTTAAAAAGTTTTTGTTTAATCATTTGGCGTAGTCAGATCGGTCCTTTTATCTTACAGCACCAGATTTATCTTGCTTCCAAACCCGACTTCCAAAAAACAATTCACAATTATCTGTAATGACTGTCTCAAATAATCCTAAAATAAAATAATAGATTTTTGAAAATAATATTTCAAATAACGTTATTTGAAATATGCCCAAGTGTCATAGAATGTTCAATAACTTGCAATACTATCGAGCTGACGGTATCAACTAACTATAATTTTCCTGATGAAATTACCGGCGCGCTTTATAATGTCGATCGATGGACACCAAAGCGAACCGAATTGGATCCGTAAACGCGAGTTAATCAAGATTTCAGAAGAGGAATGCGATGGAACATTTCAAGGATGGAAAGTTGAAGGCCCAGTTCCGGAAGTTTTGCTAATTTCGTGAAGACTCTCTAGTCCTTACTCGGACAAACCTGTGCACGCAGAAACTTCAAAGCCCGTGGCCCGATCAAGAAGGCAATTCGTTTACTTAGAACTCCCTCTTCTCTCTCGCCGCATCAACCTACGGCTTTGTCGTCGTTATTCTGAACGCGTCGTGGTATATCGTCCCTTAACTTTTCCGCTTTAAAGTTTAACTTCGCTCGCGCCAACACCCGTGGCTCCTTTCTCCTTAGTCCCTTTGCAAACTTTGTTACAGACGTACTGCGTGAATACCTTTATAGACTTAACGACCGCTTAGTCACGCATCAGACAACACCTTTGATGTTGGGGAAACTGACGAAGCTAAAACTGTATCGTAAGATCCTATTATGTGATCTTAAATTTACCTGCACCGAACGTTACTCTATAGATGCAAACCGGTATCCTATAGCGTCGCGAAAATCCTCGGCGCGGCAAAGGAACGCGAAATACGTAAAAGGAGACGAAAATTGCCAATTATCGAGGCGCGCAATCTTGTTGCACGGTCGATAATTGCCACTCATTCGTATCGAATTACCTAAAGGCGAGCGAGTCAAAATTTTGCAAATATCCCCGAGACCATGGACCCTTAAACATTGATCTTGACATTAAAAAATTAAACGAAAAGATCAAGTATTTCTCGACCTACATTTGTAGAAGAAGATGACGCGATATAAGAAGAATACATTTCAAGGGGTCAAAAAGCTTAGGAGAACGAATGGATGAGAATGGATGGAGAATTCGAATGGATGATTAACGATGCGTTCGAAACATTTCTTCGGTACGTAAGTATCCTTCGCGTAGTTCTACTGGCGCTGGACGTCGGAAGTTCTGACCGGTATAAATCCGGCCGACGATAAATATATTATAGCGATAATACGACGATGGTGGAACTTTCTAATAGATCGGGGCGGCACTTTATAGAAACTGGGGCCGGCAAAGTTGCCAAGTCTCGAATATATAATACGCCGGGCAAGATCAACCGATGCTTTGAACGGGGCGGTAGCGGACGTAACTCGATAATAGCTGAGTAACGAAATTAATGTCAGATTTACATAATTGCATGGCCACCTATTGAAACGTTTGTCTTCTGGCTTCAGGAGGTAGACCCCCGCTGACCAAGGTTTGATATTAAACGCGGGAAACGTGGCGGTGCAACGTGCACTTGCGCTTTGTTTGCATTGTAATATCTCGGTACCATTGAGGACGTGCAATGGCTACCGCTATTTATTTGCTCGAAAAATTTACTGCGGAGAAGTTACCGCAATTTATGTTGTACCTTTTATTCATAGAAATAATGTTCTACATTTCGTAGTCAATTCTGTGTTGAGTCATGGCTGCCGGAAAATAAGAATTCGACAGTAAAAGGATTTCTATAACGAGTGATTTAACCCTTAGCGGACGACGACTTTTTCGGCAGAGTCAGGTAGCAGGACGAGGCGATTTTTGCAAATATCTAATTTCAGCAAATATCTTAGCTCGTCCGCTAAGGGTTAAATTATACCAAAAGCTCTGACTGCACGCGAGCAGCCCCCCCCCCCATTTGTCGAAACGTCAGTAAACATAAAGATCGAGAAAACTGGTAGAATAGTATAATACATTGCTTCCTCGAATTCCCTTTCAAATATAATGTTAAATAAACATTATAGAATGAACTAGTAAGATTGTAGCTTTAATCTATTTACATGTATTGTAACATACATGTATAATAATAGATTGTCCAATAGACATGTAAATAATAAATTATTTAATATACAGGTACAATCATAAATCGTTTAATATACACACGGAATCATAAATTGTCTAATATACATACATACATGGTACAATGATAAATTCTCTATTATTCCATGACTAAAAAATGTTTGCTATTTCGTTGCATTCAGTTTTACATGAAGGAAATCTATTTTAAGTTTAAAAAGCTGAGAGTCGATCGAGTATTTTGACACTAGTTAGATTTTAAAAAATTAGAAAAGTCGAGTTAACCGATTTGGCCTGTGAACGACTCATATGTAATTAATTGGAAGTGAAATAATATTGGTGTGTAGAACTATACTGTTCTATATTGTAGAACTATATTGTAGAACGAAAATCGTTTTAACAAACCGACATCATAACCTTGACATATTATTGCACGGAAAAGAGTCACATTTTTTTCTCCCGGTATTTCCGGTCATACGTACTTACAGGGCCAAGTGTTGTGCTTTGAGCCGCAGATCCAAGTTCCGGTCTCCGCAGTGGAATTCGATTAAACTGCCAGCAACGTCGTTCGAGTTTCTTAGTCGAATTGGAAGATTCCACGAGCTTCCCGTGGCACACCCGTTGTCCGTAAAAGCTGGTGAAAATCGGCCGTCCTCGTCCCTCTGGTCACTACGGCTCTCTTACCCAACCTGTCTCACTCCGATCAATTAGAAAAACTTTGACCGGAAGTTCTCGTCCTGGGATTTCCGTTATTCGGAAGCTGCGCGGAACGAGACAGAATCACGCTGCGCGGAACGAGACAGAATCACGCTGCGCGAGCGCAACCAGAAGATTATGAACTCCGCGGCGCGGATTTTGAAAGAACGGGACGCCCGCCGGCCGTTCTACCATGGAGAGGGAATCGTGAGTGGTCTCGAACATGGAACAGCACTTCTGCCTGTTTTCTCATGATGGTGTTTTAATTAAAATCACCCCCGTGAACTTCGGCGTTGTCGAACAAATTGAAAACTTCAAGAATCGGGCCGAATTTGTACAATGGCGACGACATAGTTGCATCGGAAAGGCAGTGATATTGTTTTCTGCAAAAGTATTGATATGAGTATTGTTCGTTGGAATTTGAAGATAATGTATATATTCGAAGATAATGCAACTATAAATTAGAGAGTGCCATGTTGTCAGAAAAATAACAAAACATCTGTCTCTATATGTTAGAATTGTATCTACTCATTAGTGCTGAAACCATAAGAATACGGTATTATAGCGGTGAAAACAACGACTATTGTAAGCCGCCAACATTGCCCCATACGGGTACATTGATTTATGGTGTTTGCCTTATTTACGCGCGAGGTGCGCGAGGTGCGAAGTGAGTAAAAAGAAAGAGTGAAGTGCGTGTGAATTGCGAGTCAGACAGATGAGTGGGAGTGTAACCGGCACGCAGTGAAAAATAATGTAACGCGTAAAAGAAACAAACGATTGAGGGTGTTTGTTAGACCATTTATTATTGCAAGTAGACGAGGCAGAACGATGTAATAAAAGAAATAGAAATTAAGGAAAAGATTCGAAAAAGAAAACGATGTCAATTCGTACAGGCGATTTATTTGAGCCGTTTATTTTGAAAGTGACATAAGTCACTTTTTCAAAAAAATCGAGTTAATGGTAACACTAATTACAATTGAACGGTATTTTTTCATTAACCCGAGAAAGATAACCTACGTCGCAGAGGCGCCTGCGAAGACTGTTGATTTTTGTTAATTTTTCATAGAGGTCTAGTGATTTAAGTTTAAAATTACTTAAAATATAAAAAAATATAATATAAATGCATTTTATTTGTACAATAATGCCAAACCTTTAAAATGACTAGATTAACTTAAATAAATATCCATTGTTAGTATAAAATTGACGCCTTAGAAAAGCATGCGCCTCTGAAGCGTATGGTTNCCGGTATTTCCGGTCATACGTACTTACAGGGCCAAGTGTTGTGCTTTGAGCCGCAGATCCAAGTTCCGGTCTCCGCAGTGGAATTCGATTAAACTGCCAGCAACGTCGTTCGAGTTTCTTAGTCGAATTGGAAGATTCCACGAGCTTCCCGTGGCACACCCGTTGTCCGTAAAAGCTGGTGAAAATCGGCCGTCCTCGTCCCTCTGGTCACTACGGCTCTCTTACCCAACCTGTCTCACTCCGATCAATTAGAAAAACTTTGACCGGAAGTTCTCGTCCTGGGATTTCCGTTATTCGGAAGCTGCGCGGAACGAGACAGAATCACGCTGCGCGGAACGAGACAGAATCACGCTGCGCGAGCGCAACCAGAAGATTATGAACTCCGCGGCGCGGATTTTGAAAGAACGGGACGCCCGCCGGCCGTTCTACCATGGAGAGGGAATCGTGAGTGGTCTCGAACATGGAACAGCACTTCTGCCTGTTTTCTCATGATGGTGTTTTAATTAAAATCACCCCCGTGAACTTCGGCGTTGTCGAACAAATTGAAAACTTCAAGAATCGGGCCGAATTTGTACAATGGCGACGACATAGTTGCATCGGAAAGGCAGTGATATTGTTTTCTGCAAAAGTATTGATATGAGTATTGTTCGTTGGAATTTGAAGATAATGTATATATTCGAAGATAATGCAACTATAAATTAGAGAGTGCCATGTTGTCAGAAAAATAACAAAACATCTGTCTCTATATGTTAGAATTGTATCTACTCATTAGTGCTGAAACCATAAGAATACGGTATTATAGCGGTGAAAACAACGACTATTGTAAGCCGCCAACATTGCCCCATACGGGTACATTGATTTATGGTGTTTGCCTTATTTACGCGCGAGGTGCGCGAGGTGCGAAGTGAGTAAAAAGAAAGAGTGAAGTGCGTGTGAATTGCGAGTCAGACAGATGAGTGGGAGTGTAACCGGCACGCAGTGAAAAATAATGTAACGCGTAAAAGAAACAAACGATTGAGGGTGTTTGTTAGACCATTTATTATTGCAAGTAGACGAGGCAGAACGATGTAATAAAAGAAATAGAAATTAAGGAAAAGATTCGAAAAAGAAAACGATGTCAATTCGTACAGGCGATTTATTTGAGCCGTTTATTTTGAAAGTGACATAAGTCACTTTTTCAAAAAAATCGAGTTAATGGTAACACTAATTACAATTGAACGGTATTTTTTCATTAACCCGAGAAAGATAACCTACGTCGCAGAGGCGCCTGCGAAGACTGTTGATTTTTGTTAATTTTTCATAGAGGTCTAGTGATTTAAGTTTAAAATTACTTAAAATATAAAAAAATATAATATAAATGCATTTTATTTGTACAATAATGCCAAACCTTTAAAATGACTAGATTAACTTAAATAAATATCCATTGTTAGTATAAAATTGACGCCTTAGAAAAGCATGCGCCTCTGAAGCGTATGGTTATCTTTTACGTACGTTGTCATATGGTTATCTTTCTAGGGTTAAAAAAAAGAAAAGTGACTTGTGCCACTTTCAAAATAAACGGCTCATGTCTAACCTCCTATGAGCAACCTCTGTCGCTCGTCAATAGATAGGTACACACAAGTTTATTATGCACGGTGAGTCACCTAATGTTTACACTCCCAAGTATCTTTGTTATTTTTGATGATACGCGTGAATGCTTAAGAACAAAGTTGAATCGTTCAATGCGGCTCACACGATACCATGAAAATAGTTGTTTTTGTACTATTTTTTTTCTTTAGACGTATCAAGGTATCATCGTTTTTTGAAACAAGACCTGTTCCGATATGTATATCATATATTGATTTATGTAAATTTAGTTTTACAAAGTCATCATCTTAGGAGGATGATTATGTCCTAATTATATACTGATACAGTGAGATCTGGTATGAAATGGATTACAATAATACTATGTACGTGTTGTTCGGATATTGGTTTGATTCCATGATATGATGTATCATAATTGACATATGCTGACATACGTGTCAATGAATTGGTTCTATTGCTCACATTACAGCAATTAGACTGAGATAATAGAGTATTAAGTCAGATAAAGTGTCCTTGCAACTTGGCTCGAATCTGACTGCATAGTCTTGATGTGTATCTAAACTGTTTCTATGTATATTCTGACTGCAAGTATTGTAATTACACTGCAGACCTTCATATGTTATTTGTTCAGTTTTGCTAGAACAAATCTATTAATCAGCGACAGAAATTATTATATGAAATTAAAAAAATCTATCATATACAATTGAATTTCGAAGGTCCACAGTTTAGATAAATTCTTCTCACCGCTTATTTTTTTAATTGCTGCTGGTAGTAGGTAATTATAAAAAATTTATTTACCGTCTACCCCATAGAAAATTACACAATTTTTTTCCACATCTTATAGATTGCAGATATTATACTGGATATGCAATAGCTAATAGACCCCAGATATTATATTAGATAGACTGCACACATAATAGATCGCCGATATTATGATTGATGGACTGCATAGATGGACTACAGCTAATATACCGCATTGATGATATATTCGATTTTAGATGAGACCCGAGCACACAAATACTTCGTTGAATAATTGCAGTTTCCCAAATCAGACCGAACAAATTTAGATCTGCATCCTTATAAATTGATGCCATGAATTTGTACCAAATTCTGATGCTATATTGAAGATCGTTCTTAAACCGTACCGAGAGCGGCTGATCATGAATAAATAACACTATCTGGACAATGCCGCAATTAGACCAGAATCTGCTGAATTGGAAATAAGCAACCGTTCTAAACACAGGATCGTTTACAATGTATGAGCACGTCGTGCGTCAAACTGTTGGATAAAAACGCTGAACTATATAACGCGGACGCTATTTAAGATCCAAGAAAATTCGGTCGGATGCATGCGCTATGATTTATTAAATCGTCGAAATGCTGGAATGAATATACCGAGTTTATGCGAATGTAAAACTACACGGCTACGATAAAAGAGAGTTCACTGCCAGTAAAAATCCGATGCACATCTATGTTTTCATCGCGCGGATAGAGGAATGGATAAAATCTATGTACTCGGTCGTTGGTTTGTATTTCGGAACTTCCTACTGTCCTTTTCGCTCCTGTTCCTCCTGACGATCTCCTCTATTCCCTCGATACCCTCGAAGAAACAAAAGCCATGTAATATTGCAGCGTTGCTGCTTTGTTTCTCGATTCATGAAACAAGGGATACGCGAGACTTTACCAAGTTCGGTCCAAAGCTCGCAGCATTTGCAAAGTTTCTTCGTGAAATGTGCGTGGCTCTTTCAGAAATTAGTAATTGGTCAAGCGACATCATTGTTCTGCGTCTAATAATTAGGCAGTGGATTTTAACTATTCGTGACAAAGGAAAACAATCGAAGGGTTTTCATTTGAAGGGAAATTCATTTGAAGGGTTTGTTAGCTGAATTTAACCCCTTGCTGTGTTTAACTTAAAAATCATTTTTTCCGGACAAATATGTTGTTTAACTATACTTACATAAAGTCGACTTTACTGAAAAGTATTAAATATTATTGTCTAGAGCTCGAATCACTACGGGAGAGCTTGCACCATCACGAATGACTTTAGTCAAATTTAATTGAAGAATCACCCTCTAACGTGCTGTGCTGGCTGATTACCCGTAAATAATACGTGTAACTGGTGTTACTGTAGAAACGAGGGTGAACTGGGGATGGGTAATTAAAACGCCCGAGCAGTTAACGCGAATACTATGGAGGGACACGATTCCTCCAAGCGAATATACCTTCCCACTCTTCGCTACGCGTTGACCAAAGTGTCTTGAAATTAATCAACATCTTGGGATTTAAT